TTTTTTTTTTTTTTTTTTTTTTTAGTTAGTATTGGTATCTTATTGCAGTTTTAATTTAAATTTCCCCAATTATTTCTGAGGTTGAACACTTTTTTATATTATTCTTGAACTTTCTAATATCCCCTTTTGTTAAGTTCCTGTTCAAGTTTTTTTGCCCATTTTATTCTACAGGATTTTTTTTCTCATCCTGTGAAACTTAAAATTAAAAAAAAAAAAAACAAAAACCTATAGGGAAAAATCACAGGAGAAACATGAAATACTCAATGTGGTTAAGGTACCGATTCTTCCTAAATTGATCTACAGAGTTAACTCAATGTTGATCATATTCCAAACAGGATTTATGTGACAATTTTAAATGATTGTAAAATTAATATAGAAATACAAAGGGTCAATATAACCAAGAAAATATGTAACAAGAAAAAAGTGGGAGAACCTAGTCCACCAGATACCACAATATATTATAAAACTGCAGTAATCCACATAGCATAATATTTGAGCATGTATAGACATACAGAACAATGGAAGTGAGTTGAAGTCCAGAAATAGAACAACACATGTATCGACAAATATTTATGACACACCTAGTATTGGAGAGCAATGGGAATGCAACATTCTTTTTAAACAATGATGTTCTGTCAATTAGATGCCAAATGAAAAAACAGAACCTGAATATTAACGCATTCCTCACACCAAATTCAATTATCAATTCCAGGTGAAATACAGACCCAAATTCAAAGGGTGAAACAATGAAGTTTATATAGATAGCAACAAAATAGAATACCATAATGATTTGGGGCAGGCAAATATTTCTTAAGCAGGACACAAAGAATATCATGCTAAGCAAAATAAGTCAGTCAGAAAAGGGTAAGAACCATATGATTTCAGTCACATGTGGGATATAAAACTGAAAGCAACAAATGAACGAACAAGAAAAACAAACTAAAATTCATAGGCACAGGCAACAGGATGGAAGTTACCAGAGAGAAGGGGAGGGGTAGGAAAAGGTAAAGGGGGTCAAATATTTGGTGATGAAAGATGATTTGCCTTTGGGTGGTGGGCACTCAAGGTAATATACAAATCATGTATCATAGAAACGTACACTTGAAACCTATATAATCTTATTAACCAATGTCACCCCAATAAATTTAATTTTAAAAAGTTTTTAATGAGCTACATCAAAATGAACTTCTCTTTATCAAAAAGACACCTCTGGCCCGGCTGGCATGGCTCAGTGGTTGCGCATCGACCTAGGATCCAGGAGATCGCGGTTCGATTCCCGGTCAGGGCACAGGCCCGGGTTGCGGGCTCCATCCCCAGTCGGGGGCGTGCGGGAGGCAGCTGATCAATGACGCTCTCATCATTGATGTTTCTCTCTCTCTCTCTCTCTCTCTCTCTCTCTCTCTCTCTCTCTCCCTCTCCCTTCTTCTCTCTGAAATCAATAAAGATATATTTTTTAAAAAAAAAGACACCTCTGAGTAAGACTGTAATTCACATAGATAGCAATACATGAAACAAATAATTCATACCTAGAACACAGAAACAACTCATAATTTTGATGAAGTTCAAGTTAACTTTTTTCTTTTTGAATCATACCATTGGTTTTACATCTAAGAAATATTTGGTTATCCCTAAGTCATAGAGATTTTCTTTTATGGTTTCTGTGTTTTGTTGCCAGGATTTCCTTGGGTCTTATACTGAAAATGAAATTAATAATTAAAACATATATAGGAAACCTACAAATTCATAATCAATAATCAGTATATGAAAAAAGATGCTTATTAAACAATCTATGGCTACATTAATTCACTATTTCATAGATCTAACAGCCTATTTTTTTAAATATGTTTTTTATTGATTTCAAAGAGACGAAGGGAGAGGGAGAGAGATAGAAACATCAATAATGAGAGTCATTGATCGGCTGCCTCCTGCACGACCCCAACTGGAGATCGAGCCTGCAGCCTGGGCATGTGCCCTGCTGGGAATCGAACCTCGATCTCCTAGTTCATGGGTCAATGCTCAGTAATGAGCCACGCCAGCCAGGCTAACAGCCTACTTTTTAATGTGACATTTTCTTGGTGAGATCACTATCAAGAAATAGTGAGATCACTATTAGATTGAATCGAATAATTCTTTGAATTTTCTACTGTTTCCTTTGATTATATATTTTGTAAAGATATATGGGAAATTGATCTAAAAAGACCTTTGAGTATAAATTCCCACTATCTTTAAACAATTTTCTTAATTTACATGAAATTGATCTTTCAAAAGGTTCTATTGGACTAACAATGAGGCAAACATTCTATAGACTATTGTATTCAGTCTGTGGAAAGTTAAAAAATATAGTTAATCACTTTACAGAATAATTAAAATGTATATTTCTATAATTTTCATAGGTTAACCATGACAATTAACTCAATTCAGAAAATCAACCAAATGCCGCACAGCCTTTACTTCCATTTCCCATATGATGTTCTCTCTGTACTGTATAAACTGAACAACATTTGGGAGAGTATACATCATTAAAAATCTATCACTATAAAAATCCTAGAGGAAAACATAGGCAGAAAAATCTCAGATATCTCTCAAAGCAATATGTTTGCTGATACATCTCCTAGGGCAAGAGAAACGAAGGAGATAAAAACCAAATGGGACTGCATCAAAATAAAAAGCTTCTGCACAGCTAAAGAAACCACCAATAAAACGAAAAGGGAGCCCACTGTATGGGAGAACATATTTGCCAATGACACATCTGATAAACGGTTAATATCCAAAATATATAAGGAATTTATACAACTTAACAAAAGGAAGACAAACAACCCAATTAAAAAATGGGCAAAGGACCTAAATAGATACTTCTCCAAAGAGGACATACAGATGGCCAAGACATATGAAGAAATGCTCAACGTTGCTAATCATCAGAGATGCAAATTAAAACCACAATGAGGTATCACCTCACCCCTGTCAGAATGGCTCCATCAACAAGTCAACAAAGGACAGGTGCTGGCGAGGGTGTGGAGAAAGGGGACCCTGGTGCACTGCTGGTGGGGATGCAGACTGGTGCAGCCACTGTGGAAAACAGTGTGGAGGTTCTTCAAAAAATTAAAAATGGAACTGCTATTTGACCCAGTGATCCCACTTCTAGGAATATATCCTAAGAAACCCGAAACACCAATCACAAAGAATTTATGCCCCCCTATGTTCATAGCAACACAATTTACAATAGCTAAGATCTGGAAACAGCCCAAGTGCCCATCAGTAGATGAGTGGGTAAAAAGCTGCGGGACATTCACACCATGGAATACTATGCAGCTGTAAAGAAGAAGGATCTCGTACCCTTTGGCACAGCATGAGGGAACTAGAAAGTTTTATGCTAAGTGAAATAAGCCAGTCAGAGATAGACAAGTACCACATGATCTCACTTATATGTGGACTGTAATAAACAAAATAAACTGATGAACAAAATAGATCCAGAGACATAGAAGCATGGAACAGACTGAGGGATCTCAGGGGGAAGGGGAAGGGGGCAGGTGGTGAGGAGAGATTAATCAGGGAACTTATATGTTTATAAGCATAACCCATGGACACAGACATTGGTNGGACACAGACACTGGTCTGGGGAAGGCCTGGGGGTGGGGTGGATGTGGAGTGGAGGGGATCAATGGGGGTAAGAAGGGAACATCTGTAATATTTTTAACCATAAAGATAAAGAAACAAAAAAAGTATCGCTGATTACGGTTATTTTATGACTATATGATCAATTTATTTGGATTTATCCTTGAAAGAGAGCTATAATGTAATTAAGGAAGCTACCCAAAGTGCCTTATAAATGGTCGATTAGAAAGGTTGTAGGACGTTAATAAGAAAGGAGACTGCTCCCAATGCCATGACAGAAGGGAGCAATCTCAAAGTCACTCTGAAGAAACAAAACCCCTTTCATCTCCACACTTATTTAGGTATGACTCCTTATAGTACCACACATATACTTATATCCAAACTAAACCAAACATAGGAATACAAACAAATTTACAGTTCTTCCCAAGAGTTGAAAGTGATTTTTCTGCATAACGTTCATACTCGGATGTGGAGTTTAATAAGTGTTGGCTGAATTCAAACAAACTTTATCATCATGATGTTTGAACACACTTTATACATAGAAAATCATATTCAGCCTAGGAAGAGCCATCTGTTGCACAGAGCAGTGCTAAAAGGAACTTATTTTGCCCACCATATACAAGTGCACCGAGTAAAATCGGAAACCCCAAGGAGTTGCCTGGGGGGCCTGGGTCCCGCCTGCCCCTGCCCTCTGTGGCTGCGCGGATTCACTTCCCCAGTTACACCAGCCACAAGCAGAAGCACATGAACTAGAACCCGGGACCTTCATAATAACTGCTTTGCTTCATCAGAGAGCTTGAGCTGCTTTCTCTGAATTTGGGGCCCAAGCCCTCACTCAGATACTAAGCCTGCTGTCTCACGGTATCCAGCCTCTGTCCAGGTCTCCACTTACATTATTTTTCTGCAAGACCCTCAGCGCCTTGTTGACATTGTTCAGGGCATGAACTCTGGTGGAGCCTTTTTCTTTCGGCTGAAAACAAAACGAAACAGTGTTACTACCCAGAAAAGAGACCACGATCTACTAGAAATGGAACGATTTATACATGCCATGTCTAACTTTGACTGTTTTGAATAAAACACAGGCTGTGAGGTATTAATATAATGAATTTCAGTGTTGGGGGCTAATTGTACTCGTCATAGGACTTTCTTCAGCATGAATCAACCATTCCTCAAGAAAAGTGATAGCATTTGTTTTTCTTCACCTGAGGATATTTTTTCCATTGCTTTTCAGAGAGTGGAAGGCGAGGGGAGGAGAGAGAGAGAGAGAGAGAAACATCGATTTGAGAGAGACAGATTGATTGGTTGCCTCCTGCACACGAGGATCAAGCCTGCAACCAAGGTACATGCCCTCGGCCGGAATCGAACCCGGGACCATTTAGTCTGCAGGCCAGTGCTCTAACCACTGAGCCAAACTAGCTAGGGCCACAAAAGATATTTTGTTTACAATCTCTCCTTCATTTTACAGCCCAGTTGGGGATTACTGCATGACCAGCAATAGAAACATCAGCAGGCATAACAACATTTGCTAGTAAAATAGATAAGTGGGTTAATTTCGACACTTCTTAAGAAAGTTTAAAAGAGATTTGGGCAGAGCAAAATTGTTTAATGCGACATAAGGTTAAAGAAAACCATTTCTGTGACTATCATCTTAGTTCTCTTAGTCACTAAAGCTTAAACTTTGATCATCTTTGGTTTTCTAACCCTCACTCTCAATCCCAAAAGTCATATTTTGTCTAGTAATTTTTAAACTAACATTTGCATAGTTTGTTACAATATATGGATTAACTAATTTATTCAGTTGTGGAGTTTTAGAAATTGTACCGTTACGATGCCTGCCATATTTACTCCTAAAATGAGATCTGCCCACTTAATGAACTTTTAAGTGCTGAGTATAGTATTTTTAACCAGAGGCACAATGTTTTACAGCAGATCTCTAGAACTTATTTGTCTCTCATGAGTGAAACTTTATACCTGTTGAACAGCAAACTCCCCATTTTCCATATCTCGTGTTAAATGTTCATATCACAATAAAAAAATAAATTAAACTTAAAAGGTCATATGTTTAAAAGCCTTGTAAAAATACATTCAATAACAAAGATACCAAACATTAAAAGGGAATATCTATTAATTGACATAAATTATGTGACTGAAAATTCTCACTTTCTCATCTTCTGTATGATAGGCTATGCGAAAATGAAAATAATATTGTGAGACTGTTTTATTTAGAAGTAGGTCCCGTATTGCTAGTTAATTCAGTAATTGGCAAATTAGTGAATTTTACTAGATCTCATAAAATTATGCTGAGTTTGTCTGTGGTATGAGATTCTCCTAAGGCTAACGTGAACTTTCTTATAAATAAGTCACGTACCAGTTTTTGATCTGTCAGGCCTTCGAGAAGGTCTAGGAGGCGTTTCCCATCCTGCAGGTCACTGAAGAGGTTCTCTATGTGCTGCTTCCCAAACTGAAATATGAAATACACCCAATTAAGCAAAACACGCTTCCAGTGATCCATTTTCACGATTATGTCCATGAAAATTTTAAGCTATGTTTAAGAATATTTAATATATCTAATTCTTAATCTGCCAAGGGTGATAGATGAAAAGAGAACCTCCAAGTGATAAACAAAAAACAATATACCATCATTACGCCAAATCTATTAAAATTTTTTTTAATAACAAGAGTTGAAGAGCTGTAGCTTAAATGATCTAATTAACTCAACTTTTTCAATCCTGATTCTATGAAGGAGGGGAAAAAATGTTTAAAATATCAGGCAGCTGGGCTTTGGGGGGGAGAAAGATATATACAAAGAAACAAAGACCCCACATACAATGCCCTGTGTAGGTGCACAAAATGTAACCGTTTTACATACTTGGAAATATAATACTTAATCATAGAGGGCTTGACCCATAAAACAAGCTTTGTCTGTATATGCATTTTACATGCTGCCTCAGAATGATCCATTCTCACATTGGACAGCTCAAATTTCAAAAAGATCTGATTTAAATTGAGTTGAAATAGGCTGGTGAAAGTTTTTTTATCTTTTTTTTTTTTCCAGTTCTTTACTGGGGAATTACAATGAGGAAAAATAATAGACACTAATGACACCTAACATTTTTGGAGTAACTGCTCGTGAGAAACACTCCACTAAATGAGTGGATCTTATAATCTTTGTGACATTTCTATGAGGTTAGCATTAATCTACTCGTCCTACAGATGAAACAAAGAGGTTCAACGTGTGGCCCTTTGTCACAAAACCAAAAGTTAGTTAGAGCCAAAATTTTGGCCCAGATCTGTCTAACTCCTGGGGTCCTTGTTCTTTCTATTTTATCTTGCTGCTTCCTTGGCCATCTGTCCTTCTATTTGATTATCTAATATTTTATTTCTTCTGCTGTGCCTCCAAATATTTTCTTTTTCTGGTTTAAAGCCTACATGAAATCATTCCCAACTATTTCATCACCCATGTTATCTAGAAAGCCCTAATTTATCAGTGACGGATATTTATGGAGCACCAATAAACCTGGAACACACGCTAGTAAATCAGACAGACATGACCCCGGCCCTTATGGAACTTTGAGTCCAGCAGGGAAAACAAATAATCCTAAAAGGTAATATTACACAGAAGCAGTAAAAGGGACCCAGGAGCACATAACTGTGGGAGCTCCCATAGTCTGGGGATCAAGAAATACATTCCACAAATGTCAGGTGATGGGTCTAACATTAGCCTTTGGGTGACTGGGCTCTTCTTATCCACTCCTTCGATCACATACAAACATTGAATTTCACACAGGTCAAGAAAATCAACAAGAGCCCTAGTTCCCATGCAAAAGACATCCTTGAAGCTTCCCAGATGGAAGACATAGGACTCAGGCTATCCCTACAGCCAGGCAGCCTTGACAGTGACAAGTTGGGTCCATGCCTCGGTGTTTCACTTAATAATACTGACCCCTGCGAAAGTCCACCAGCCCCTCTATGCCCAGCTTTGGGAATCAAGCTACATATGTGCTTCAGTAAAGATAACTACAAGTTATTCTTTTGAAAGCCTACTCAAATAGTTCTGCTTAAAGCTCCATGGCAAAAAGAAACTGCTAACACGCTTGACTTTTTTAAACAGAACCTTTACTACATATAATGTACAAGTAAATCTTAAAACAACAGTGTCATATTCATGAAACTTTAATGAAATATTTTTACTAATAAGTAACGAAAATGAATGTGCGCCTTATAATAATTCTGTCAAGAACCTCATATATAACCTGGAATAACTTGGCATTTGGGAAATAATATTAAGGTTTTATTTTCAAATTAGTTGAAGTGCTACAATGCCTTGAAAATGTTGTTTTGTTTTTTTCAGGAGCAAAATTTTACAGATGCATTTGAGCAGTGAGTGGCTTCTAAATTTATTGACAAAAAGAATATTGCACACTGAAATGTGTCAAGTTTTGAAGAAAATAAAATATAGGTAGCTGACAGAGATACTTGCTCTTATTAAAAATATATCACTAGATGATTGATAGATAGATGATAGATAGATAGATGATAGATAGATGATAGATAGATAGATAGATGATAGATGATAGATAGATAGATGATGATGATGATAGATAGATAGATAGATAGATAGATAGATAGATGATAGATAGATAATAAAATCTGTCAAGCCAGAAAGGATGTGGGTGGCAAAATGTTCATTCAAGAAGAAAAGCAGAGACAGGGAAGGAGATAAATCTTGGGGTATAAAATAAAGCATAACCCTCTAGCATCCAAGACATGAGGACTAGAAGGCTTATGCTTTGGGGCAAGGAGTCTAGACAAAGGTCAGCAAGGCAAACAGGATCTTGCTTTGATCCGAACTTATATGCACAGACCAGGGCATTTTTATACTTCTCTCTTTTAAACTGGAACCAAACAAAATAGAGAGGAAGTGAAGGATTGTAGGCCAGTCAGAGGTCTCCAGACACACCTGGTTGGGGCACCTAAAAAGCAGTGAGGTGACAGAGAAAAAGACAGTTCCTGGTATCATAGGTAACTTTCAAGACTCACAGAATCAATGATATATTAAAGTATCACAACTGAAATCCAATTTCTATTTGTTATATCCACCACATTCTCAAATACAGTGCTTCTCAGGATGAGATTGAATGAACTTACCCCGGAGTCTGGCAAGATAAATTATACAGTGACTACAGGTTCAAAATTTCTAGGAGAGCATATGTTTTATGTTAAGAATTCGTGGAGATTTTGCCTTCTCCTCTTAATGCATGTTTGTTTTAACTTAAAAGGAATTTCAAGCACTTTCGAATAAAATCTCCCCTCCTGTGGTCTAATTGAAATTAAAGCGATGCTCAATGACCTGTACAAAATTTAGCCTGTAGCTTCATGGGCCTGCAGGTGCTCGGTTGTCTTCTTCCTATAGGATGAATATCCCTGGGAAAGCAAACATCTCATTTCCCTTGGATGCTTTTCATTTCTTTTCCTAGATTCAATGCCTCATTCCACAGAGTTGTGGCAAAAGGAGCACACATTTCAGAGGCGGAAACAGCTGACTTTTGAACTCAAGTCTCCTTTTCATTGCCCTGCGCTGTCTCGGGCAAGTGACTTAGCCTTTCTGAGGCACAATTTACTCTTAGGTAAAATGGGGATTGAAATAATACCACTTCTGAGCACTGCTCTGAGGCTTAAATGAAACACTGTAGGTTTGTTGCACAGACTTGGCAAATAGTAGGCTCTCAGTAAATACAGGATGGTTTTTATGTTTTATTCTTCTATTATCCCTTGCCTTCTCTTTAGCCAAAATCCAGCTGTAAATACAATTATGGTGCATTGTTGAATCTGCTAGAAAGTGCAGAACTCACATACAATGTGTTCTGTTTTCTCATAATTTGGTAGCCCTGCAAGAGTGAAAGCCAAGGAGGGGAGATGGCCTTCCATACTCAATCACTAGTACTGAAAATGGGGATGGCACAGGAGAGAAGCGCAGAAGCTTCCAGCGCTTTTTCTGTTTTCTTATTGTTTTTTATTATTTTTAATTAAGTCTACTTTTGTTTTCCTCCCTTTCATCTTCTACATCTACCATCTCTTTTTGTTGCAAGTGACATTTTATGTCATGAAAACAGTAATACTTCCTTACGATTCCCTCTCTTTAAGGGCTTTCTTTTCAAGTGCATGAAAATTATTTTGTAAAACGTACAGAACATTAAAACCTCTTTGGGCCATATTACCCTCTGGCTCTCTGTCTTCAATCCTTTGCATGACAAATATTTTCTTTAAAAAGCGAACTTTTGATAATACTCAGCAGTTTTTTGCACTCACTGACACACTGTTTCTTCCTTGCTAACCCAAATAACAGGATGAAAGGACCATAAAATGAGACAAGAATCCTTCCAGATCACTGCCAGTATGATATAAAGCAATATAGAATTTTTTATATCTTTATACAGACAATGCTCAAAAACACTCAGACAGGTTGACTGGTAAGTGGCATAAACAAAGTGAAAAAAACCAAAGTGAAAAAATTGAGAAGGGGACAGAAATGCATTTGTGAAACTATTGAGACAGCTCCTTAGTCTTCAGAGTTATGTCAATCTTTTAACCTGAAAATATAGAGGGATCAATACAATGTTCCAATAGAAGGTAAAGAACACAGGGATAATTTAGCATAGCCTTCTGGTTACAGAAAGGTCAGGCTCTGGACATATCTGTTGCTCAGAAAGTCAAATTACAAATCTTTAAATACTAGAAATACCAAAAAGCACTGGTGTTTCAAAACTTATTGGTGAAAACTGCTGATCAACTCCCATAAAAATAATGCAACCCATTGTAATAGAAATAGGCAGGTTTTATAGATGATTTCTTTAAGCATGGGTTGTAAAAAGTGTTCTATAAGAGAATTTTATTGAGGTATAATATACATACAGGAAAGTACAGATATCTTAAGTGTTAGCTCAATGAATTTTTACAAACTGAACACGTTCATGTTATCCATACCAGACAGGGAAACACAGCATGACTAGCATCCTAGGAGCTTCCTCATACCCCCTGGTGTGCCCCCCCGTCCAAAGATGACTATTACACTGACTTTTCATACGACAGACTAGTTTTGCCTTGAGAGGAATCTCTAAAGAACAGAAGAATAATGCTGTATTAGTATTTCACTTTAGGAAATTGGTGACTGAAAGACATCAGGTTTGAGCAGAGATAATTTGAGGGTGGGGGAGTTGCATTGATAAAATACATTTTACAAAGCCAAGGGAAGTGGTATAGTACAGTACATAAGAATATTTTCTCTGTGCCCAGCATGAATTGGTTCAAATCCCAGCTCTGCCATATTTCAGCTGTGTAACATTGAGCAAGTAACTTGACCTCTTTGTGCCTTATCTTTTTCATTTACAAAATGAAGATCTGCTATTACCTAACTTGTGGTGATGGTAAGATTTAAAGACACTTAGAACAGCACTATGTTTA